ATTAATGTTTTATATATTATATATTTTATATTAAAAATAGAAAAAAATAATAATTTATTATTTCTTATAAAATGAATAAATAATTAAATAAGGTTGACAAATTGATTAATTCAAATGCTGGCAACAATCACCAGCTGCAGAAATTTCAGATTAGCAGGTTGTAAAATAAGTTATACTAATTCATATTTGGCAGGGTGTTCATTTCTTGCTTTCATAAAGGGAAGGTGATGCTAAGTGAAAGGGGGGCCGAACACAGCAGTGGTGTGGGACCAAGGCCAGCCCTCCGTACTGAAGGACTAAGACATTCTGACACACACACACACGCGCGTTTTTTATCACTGTCTGTCCTCCTCAAATGCTAATTGCTATATGACTAATTATGGCCCTGTTCCCGTTGATTTTCCTTAATGAGACAGCCAAGTTAATTATGTAATCAAACTATTTTATTAGCCCCTGCGGAACATGAGAGCGCGAGAGAGATTGTGAGAGTAAAATCAGAGAAGGAAAAGCTGACAGAGAGGAGTGTAAAATAAAACATGTCATTCCTGTACACGTTCTATGTGAAGTCGAGATCGCAGTTTTCGGCGCACATCCCTCCCCCTCTCTGTATTCTCATCTGAAGGTACAGGAAATGCTGATGGGGTGTGTTATGTGTGATGTGCATATGTGGTGCGTGAGTGTGTCATATCTAAAAACTGCAAGAGGAAGTCTGAATGATATGCTGTCATGGTGTATTCCCTTTTGTAGCCGTGGCAACTGCCATTTCAGCTCAACTCGGCTCGATGGGCGGCCACGCGTCACTCAATTCTGAACGTGACTGTCATCATGTGACTGAAATGACCAGCCAATTCAAATCTGATTTACACAGGCACATCAATTTGGATGCGTGTCATTTGATGTACAACACAACACCGCAAGCACAATCCGTTCGGTTAGGTTGGCGTCTGAAGCTAAACTGAAGTCAAGTGCTGGGCGGCCTCACTGTAGGAAACTAAGAAAGGACAAGTGGGAACATTCAGATGCTTTAAAATCTATTACAGCATCTATGAGACACATTCAGTCTCTAAAAGCAAAAAAAAATAAATAAAAAAACATTAAAATAATCCTAAAGTTGAACCCTAAAGTGAAAGCGACAACTGTGTTTAAAAGCAGAGTGAATCCTCTAAAGTATTGTTACAGTGTGAACAGAAAACTGGAGTCACTCCTGAAACTTTAAAAAAAAAAAAGTTAGTGATTATCATGGCAATGTTTTGACATCTTGTGGGTGTAAACAGGAAACACAGATATATCATCTCATATTTATATACACAGTACAGAGTATATACTTTTTTAGGAGTGAATTTAGTTGGGATCTAGGGTTGGGCCGATAGACGATGCCATCGTCCATCGCCGATGGCTGACAGACATCGTGATTCCTTCCCCACCACCCCCTCTCCCGCAAAACTTTTTTTTTTAAAAAGTTAGTGATTATCATGGCAATGTTTTGACATCTTGTGGGTGTAAACAGGAAACACAGATATATCATCTCATATTTATATACACAGTACAGAGTATATACTTTTTTAGGAGTGAATTTAGTTGGGATCTAGGGTTGGGCCGATAGACGATGCCATCGTCCATCGCCGATGGCTGACAGACATCGTGATTCCTTCCCCACCACCCCCTCTCCCGCAATCCGCTGCATCCCAGTTCCGTGTTCGGAAAGGAAATGAAGTGTACTACGGAAACCCTAAAGGGAATAAATAGCCTACGAGATGGGAGGATAAAAAAAATTATTCAATACTTTTTTTCGCAATTATATCGTTGGGTAAGTATAGGCGACTGTATATAAATTGCGGGCATCAGGGAGCCGCTATTGAAACCGCT